GCTGAGTAAACCAAAACAGGATAAACCCACAGAAATCCATGCCAAGACATGTCGTAATTACACTTTCTTCTCTGCCCCTGCCCATCCACCCTGAAAACTAACAACAGAAAAAGACTACTGGAAGCAGCCAGAGGAAAATGACACCTTCTCTACAGGGGAAAACACAGACTGACAGTGAACTTTTCATAAGAAACCATAAAGGCCAGAGGAAGTGGCACAATATTTTTCAACTGCTTAAAGAAAAGAGCTGTTAGTCAGAATCCTATACGCAGAGAAAATATTCTTCAGAAAAGAAAGGGATATCAAGACATTCTCAAATAAAAGAAAACCAAAAATCTATCACCAGCAGACCTATGCTAAAAAGACTGGCTAAAAGTAGGCTGGGTGTGGTGGCTCACGCCTGTAATCCCAGCACTTTGGGAGGCTGAGGCAGGCGGATCACCTGAGGTCAGGAGTTCGAGACCAGCCTGACCAACAAGGAGAAACCCTGTCTCTACTAAAAATACAAAATTAGCCAGGCATGGTGGTGCATGCCTGTAATCCCAGCTACTCGGGAGGCTGAGGCAGGAGAATTGCTTGAACCCGGAGGCCGAGGTTGTGGTGAGCTGAGATCCCGTCATTACACTCCAGCCTGGGCAACAAGTACAAAACTCCGTCTCAAAAAAACAAACAAAAAAAAAAAAAAAAAAGAAAAAGAAAAAGAATGGCCAAAGATCTTTCAAAATAAAAAACATAAAAGCAACCATATAGAAATATAATAGGTTTTCCTTTTTAGACTTACATCAATTCACGTTTGATAGCGAAACAAAAACTATAACATTGTCTGATGTGATACTAAATGTATACAGAAGAGAAATATTAACATAATTATAATGTGTACTGATGGGGGAGAGAAGTAAGTGGAAGAGGGAGAGAAGGTCTAGACTTCACTTGAACTGATAAAAAACACCAGTAGACTGTGATAAGTTACGCATATATGATGTATACTGGGGGTCTGACCAGGTCAGTGGCTCATGCCTATAATCCCAGCACTTTGGCAGGCTGAGGTGGGGAGGACGCTTGACCTCAGGAGTTTAAGGGACAACCTGAGCATATGCTCAAAGGAGCCTGTCTTAATTAAGTCAAAAACCTGAGAGAACAGAACTGACAGCAAAAGCTAAATGAGGAGATACACTCAAAAACATTACAAGCAAGAGTCAGAGAATCTAAAACATGTTCCATCACTCATAGGAAGACAGGAAAAAGTACATAGCGAAGGCAGGAAAAAAGTATGCAAAAGCAGAAATGAAAAAAAAGCAGAAAACAAAAAAATAAAATGGCACACTTAAGCCTAACTACTGCTCAATTAATTACATTTTATACAAATGGTCTAAATATACCAAGTAAGAGAAGCTCAGCAGACTGCATTAAAACCATGACCCAACTCTCCTGCTCTATAATAAATTACTTCTTTTTTATTTTGTTTTCAAGATAAAGTCTTGCTCTGTCACCTAGGCTGATGCAGTGGCGCGATCTCGGCTCACTACCAGCCTCCGCCTCCTGGGTTTCAGAGGCATTCTCCTGCCTCAGCCACCCAAATGTGGGACTACCCAGGCATGTGCCAGCACGCCAGCTAATTATATTTTCAGTAGAGGTAGCGTTTCACCGTGTTGGCTAGGCTGGTCTCGAACTCCTGACCTAAATGATCTGCCTACCTTAGCCTCCCAAAAGTGCTGGGATTACAGGTGTGAGCCACCACACCCAGCTGGAAGAGTTTTTAAAAACCTATTACCTTAGAAGAGGAAATAATAATGACTGAGCAACCTTAATGAGAGTGAAAACAAAAAGATAATAAAGTCAATGGAAATGAAGAGAGCTGGTCTTTAGAAGATCAATAAAATTACAAACTCTGGCAAGACTGACAAAGAAAGAAAAACAGAGATGACATAAATTTATCAATATCAGGTATAAAGCGAATTATCGCTGCAGACTCACCCGGACATCTAAAGGATAATGAGAATCACACAAGCAACTTTAGCAATATTAAGTTTGACAATCTTAACCATCAGACAATTCCTCAAAAAAAAAAAAAAAACAACTGCCACTAACTCATCAATATGAAATCCAATAGCATTTTAGGAAGCCTATAACTATTAAGGAAGTTGAGTCAGTAATCTAAAAACTCTCAAAAAAGAAATCTCTAGGCCCAGATGTCTTCATAGAGAAATCAACCAAATGTTTGAAGTATCCCCAATTCTACACAATCTTGTACTTTTACAGTGAAGAAATACTTTAATTCATTATAAACTAATATTATCTGTCTGACCAAACAGGAAAAAATGAAAACTACAAACCATGTTCCATCATAAATATGATGAAAAATTCTAGAAAGAAATAATATTAGCCGCTTTGCGAGATTCAATATATATCTAAGTAATTATATAGGAGTAAGTGAGGTTTATTCCAGGAATGGAAGTCTGGTTTAATATTCAAAGAATCAATACAATTCACCATATTAAAAAGGCTTGCAAAAAAATCACATGATTGGCCGGGTGTGTTATCACCTGTAATCCCAGCACTTTGGAGGCTGGGGCGGGTGAATCACAACATCAGGAGATTGAGACCATCCTGGCTAACATGGTGAAACACCATCTCTACTAAAAATACAAAAAAATTAGCCGGGTGTGGTGGCAGGTGCCTGTAGTCCCAGCTGCTCGGGAGGCTAAGGCAGGAGAATTGCTTGAACCGGGAGGCAGAGGTTGCAATGACAGGATCACTCCACTTCTGCTCTAGCCCTGGACAATGGGAGTGAAACGTCTTCTCAAAAAAAAAAAAAAAAAAAAAAAAAAAAATCATGATTATACCAATGGAGGTACATAAAAACATGACAACAGTAAAGCATTCATGATTTTAATACTCTCCAGAAAAATAGCAATGGTAGGATCTTCCTCAACTTGATAAAGAGCTACAAAAGCCCACAGCTCCTGTTATACTTAATGGTGGAAGACTGTTCTTTACAAAACGAACTAGGCAAGGGTGTCCAGTCTCGCCACTCTTATGCAATATAGTGCTAGAAGTAACCATCAATCATAGGCCAAAGAAAATAAAGTAAAAGTAATTCAGATTGAGAAAGGAGAAATAAAACTGTCCCTGACACCCAGATGAGCCCATGATTGTCTAAGTAGAAATTTTGGAGAAATTTACAAAAACTCTAAGAGTTACTGACTCAGAAGAATCTGGAATCAAGATATTTATGCAAACTCAATTGTATTTCTATATACAGCCATCCCTCAGTATCTGTGGGGGAATGGTTCTGCGACCTCCTGTGGATCCCCAAATCCATAAATGCTCAAGTCCCTAATACAAATGGTATAGCATTTGCACTCTCAACCTATCCCATACCCTCCCATATGCTCAATCAGGGTCCCCAACTGCAGGCCACGGACAGTACTGAATCCATGGCATAAGTAAAACAAGCCACCAGGTAAGCAGGTGAGTGAAGCTTCATTTGTATTTACAGCTGCTCCCCATCACTCGCGTACCGCCTAAGCTCCCTCCCATGGAGTCAGTAGCAGTACTGAATTCTAACAGATACAAGCCTTGACCATGAACAGCATATGAAGATCTAAAGTTAGTGCTCATATAAGAATCCCAATGCATGCAATGATCTGTCACCATCTCTAAATCACCCCCCCAAGCTGGGACCATCTAGCTGCAGGAAAACAAGCTCAGGGCTCCCACTGATTCTACATTATGGTGAGTTGTACAATTATTTCATTATATGTTACAATGTAACATTCATAGAAATAAAGTGCATAATAAATATGGTAAATACACTTTACATCTTGACCTTATCAATCTCAATCATCCTGAAGCTGTAATCACTGTATTATAGTTTTTTTGCAAGATGTTAACACTAAGGAAAATAGGTAAAGATACAGGTGATCCCTCTGTATTATTTCTTATAACTATATAAAATTTGGTATTATCTCAAAAAGTTTAATTTTAAAATGTTATAAAACAGAATGAAAGGAAAGACTCATCAGAGAGAGACATAAATGTAGAACAGTTAGATAAAGAAACCAATAATTAATTAGTAGAGGCAGAGTGGGAAAGGAAGAGATTAGGCTGGAAGAGTAGAGGAGGCGGCAAAATCAGTGGTGAGGTGCCCTGTGTTCTTAACAGAGAGAGACTAGGGGCCACGCTGCTGTGTAATGAGCAGAGACCCCCATAGGCCTGATACAGTATACATCCTGGCTGACCTGATGCTCTTATGCTGTATATTGTGGAAGGGACCCAGCCCAGAGTGACCCCTCATCCGGCCCAGCCATATTATTTCAAAGTTGATTATTTTTCTTCCTCCCCAGCAAAATACCCAAGTTATGCAGTTATTCATCTCCAAGGCAAAGATCAATTGGTAAAATTTAAACAAAGTTAAAAAAGCCCAAGCAGCATCTCCCCAAATACCTGAAAATTTCTTACCTGGCTAAGCATAGGGTTATTGTGTCTGAGATGGGTTCACTTTGGACAAAAGGAATCGAGCCTTTAACAACAAAAAGGTTTAAAGATTAACAGTGACATTAATATTAACGTAACAGAGAAAAAGATAATTTTTCAACATTTCTTTAGTTAAATTGAGTAAATGCTGCACAGTAATCTATTTCTTTAGCTTAAGCCCAGTGGCTCTCCATTTAAGGATCCTAAAACATAAAATGTATATTTTATCTTGGCAATCCCTTTACACAAGTGTATTTTGACCACTCATTTAAAAAGAAGTCATATTTGGAAGATTACCTGTGTGTCAACTTATGTCATCACATAAAATATTATACATCCTGTTTGGATGTATAGCAATAACAATCTATCATAAAACGAACAAACCACTGGAGCTAGAACTCCAGCTCGCTCACTGACTACCTCCATGCTCTGTGTTAATGTAGCATTGGCATCGGGAAGCGTGCTTGCCAAATTTCTTGAGCATCATCCAGTGGGCCTGCAGGTGCTTGAGTTTTATTTTCGGGCATGTCCTGGTAGCCAGCTTTACGCCATTGGGCTATGGTCTACACAGAAACAAACCAACCAAAAACTATTGTGGAAACTGTAACAACAGCCTTCACTGACACTGACATTCTACCATAGCCACCCAGGCTTGTTTCCAGTGAAGAAGTGTAATGTCAAAAATGACAAGCTTCAGAGGGGAGAGAGTAAAGCAGAGCTACCAGCAGAGAGAGAAGCAGAGTAGAAAAATGGGTGCATCCAGGACACCCCTGCCTGCACATTACCCCAGGAATGTCAGGCATCACTCCTTACTCCTCTCTTCTATATCAACTAGTTAACAAAGCCTGTGGATTACTCATCCCCGAGAGCGCTGGCCTCCCTCCTTTTCCACTTCCCACTGTTTTCACTCAGTCTAGCCTCATCTCCACATATCTGGTAAGGAAGGAGCTTTGTTGGCTGCCCACACAGACTCTCCCTGTCTCACCTATGGCACATATTACACTCCTCCTCCAGTGGCAGTAGTCATACAGACTTGGGTGCAACTGACTCATCCCTATCTGCTCCCCTGGGCCCTGGATTGAGGTACCTTTGGCAAGGGAACAAAGCTGTAAGAATCAAAGTATGAGTGTTGATCAGGCAGTGAAGAGAAGCCATATGCTAAACTGTAGAAAGCAGACGATCTGTCTCCCTGACTAGGCTACACATTTTATCACCCTTCCTTCTTTTACCCTCATCAGCAACTGCTCTAGAAAATATCTTGTATCACAGAAATCAAAAACATTCATTAACTGATTCATATACCTTTATAAATAAGTAGAATTCTTTTTACATGTTATTTAGGGAACAAAAGAAGACAATGGACAGGAAAATAAGAAAAGGCTACAGCAAATTAATGCAATGTGTCTTAACAGAGCCATTAACATGGCTCCCGGGCAGAGGATTCTCATCAGATGCCTCCTTCTGTAGCCTGCTCGCTTCTCAATTGGCAGTTACGTTTCCAGGTCTAAATGCTGTGATTGACGGTTGGCCTAGTAAGAAATGCCCACAAGCTCACTAGGGGCCAGGGGTTCCTAAGAACGCACATTCCAGCACACTCGGGGCTTTGGGAAGGTGACAGCAGTGTCACTGTCTTTATCCTTAAACCCTCACTTGCAAGAAGGTATAATAAACAAGTGAATGAACAGCATCAGGGGTTACAGAAGAAATGTCGATAAGGGAGTGACTTAAGGCAAGAAATGTTTCATCATCATTTATGATGGCCTCAAATTATCCAAGATAGTTCCAGGACTACTCCTCCCAATACCCAAAGTCCATAGATCCTCAAGTCCCTCTACAAAGTAACATAAATATTTATATAACTGACGTGCATCTTCCCATATACTAAATCATCTTTAGATTACTTATAATACCTACTACACAATGTAAAAAGTATAAATAGTTCTTGTGTGTTTCCTTTTTTTTTTTTTTTTTTTTTTTGAGACAGAGTCTCACTCTGGCTGGAGTGCAGTGGTGCAATCTAGGCTCACTGAAACCTTCACTCCCGAGTTCAAGTGATTCTCCTGCCTCAGCCTCCCAAGCAGCTGGGATTACAGGCGTCTGCCACCACGCTTGTATTTTGTATTTTTAGTAGAGACAGGGTTTTGCTGGCTTGGCCAGGCTAGTCTTGAACTCCTGACCTCAGATGATCCGTCTGCCTCGGCCACCCAAAGTGCTGGAATTACAGGTGTGAGCTACCACCTGGCTGTGCCTATACATTTTATTTGTATTATTTTTTATCATTATTTCAAAATTATTTTTAACCTGCCATTGGCTGAATCTGCAGAGGTGGAACCTGTGGATACGGAGGGCCGACTATACTGATACCAAAGGACCCAGTGGGAAGAGCAGCTGGTCATCCGGCTCTCAGTCTAGGACTATTACTGACAGCCTAGCACTTGTGTGCAAGTGGCGACTGGGTGTTAATATGCTGAAAGAAGTTTACAGTTATAAAATACTTAGGAGTATTAGAAAACAAATACTTCCTAAGTTACTAAAGGAATCCCGAAACACAATTTATATCTTTTCACGATATCAGAAATCATTTCTAATGGTTGTAGTAGGAAACCAAATCAATAGCCAATATTATGAAGGTAGAGAACATACAATAGAAGAAAAAGCATCACTGAATATAAATATCACCATCATCTCCCATTAAAGGATTTTCATAAAGATGCAAATAATTCAGAAGCTATTCCCTTTCTCAGGGCATGAGCAGCCCACTGAGAAACCCCACAGAGTCTCAAATTTCTTTCTGAGAAGAAATGGACTAAGCTATCCACAGCCATCTAGGATCCTGAACATGGTGTGAAGTTCCTGGGCCATGTCATTTCATCAGCACAACTTTAGCTCTAGCGCTAACTCTGAAAGAACAGTAGTATGTATAAAATATTTACTGAGGAGAATAAACTAGTTTTGCCTAGCACAGAAGGTAATGATTTAGAAATGATTTAAAAGAAGACAGCTAAGGCGCAGTGGCTCACGCCTGTGATCCCAGCACTTTGGGAGGCTGAGGCGGGGCGGATCCACCGAGTCCAGGAGGTGCTGAGACCATCCTGGCTAACACGGTGGCTCAATCTCTACTAAAAATACAAAAAATTAGCTGGGCGTGGTGGTGGGCACCTGTGGTCCCAGCTACTCGGGAAGCTGAGGCAGGAGAATGGTGTGAACCCGGGAGGTGGAGCTTGCAGTGAGCCGAGATCCGTGCCACTGCACTCCAGCCTGGGCAACAAAGCGAGACTCCGTCTCAAAATAAATAAATAAATAAAAATAAAAGAACCACCTGAGATTTTTTTTTTTTTTTTTGAGACGGAGTCTCGCTCTGTCACCCGGCTGGAGTGCAGTGGCGTGATCTTGGCTCACTGCAAGCTCCGCCTCCCGGACACCTGAGACCTACGGCATATATTATTATTTATTATTTTTGAAGGCGGAGTTTCACTCTGTTGACAAGCTGGAGTGCAATGGCGTGATCTCAGCTCACTCACAACTCCCGGGTTTAGTGATTCTCCCACCTCAGCCCCCAAGTAGCTGGGACTACAGGTGTGCCGCACAACCTTTTAACATTTTTAGTAGAGATGGGGTTTTGCCTGTGGTCAGGCTGGTTTTGAACTCCTGACCTCAAGGTGATCTGTCCCACCTTAGCGTCCCAAAGTGCTGGGATCACAGGCATGAGCCCTGTCCCATAGCCATCTTTGTAAATATTATTAAAATTCTAAATGTCTCATCTCCAGAGACATAAGAAAGGTTCTATTCACTGGGAATAAAAGCCACTGCGCTTTCTAAGCCCAAACTGTTGTTACAAATGTCATTAAAAACCCTAAATTAATAAATAAGAAAACAAAAAAGAGCAGTTAAGGACAATAATTCTCCTTGTGTGCACAATTAAATAAATGTGTATGCCTTTTCCCCAATTTAAAAACAAAAAATATCATCTTACCTCACCAAGATAAATGACAATTTGAAAGAAAGTATCCATCAGCAAAATTCTGTCAGCTAGAATGCTGCTGCTATCCAAGAGTACTGGCTGAAGAAAAAGAGACAGAAAGATGGCATTGGTTTTCCCTGCTCCCCACACAGCCACCACTTCCACCCAACCCTGACCCCATGCCTGGTATCCACAGCAAAGGCTATTTACAAATGGTGCCCAGCACAGTGGCTCCCGCTTTCTTCCTCCACACTTCCCTTTTCTGCTCCACCATTTCATTCTTGACTTTGTAGGAAAAAGAGACTCCAAATAATTCCTCATCAACTGAGAAGGGAAATTAATACCTTTTTTTTTTTTAAATTAGAGTCAGGTGTTGCTCTGTTGCCCAGGCTGGGATCGTGATCGACCTGGCTCACTGCAGCTTCGACCTCCTGGGCTCAAGTGATCCTCCCACCTCAACCTCTAGAGTAAGCTAGAGGCATGCCACCATGCCCAACTAATTTTTTATTTTTTGTAAAGACAGGGTCTGACACTATGTTGACCAGGCTTAGTAATATCTTTTGATCTTAGAACGAAAAACAAAATTGAATATTCTCAGTTTTGTATGTATTTTAGCAATCAGAGACACTCTCTGTAGATGAGACAGAGAAATACAGATGCCTATGAAAAATAGCATTTTAACACAAATTTTGAAGTTTACTACAAAATATATGTGTAGCTGGCGTGGTGGCTCACGCACATAAAACCCTCTTTTAGGGAGGCCAAGGCAGGCAGATCACTTGAGCCCAGGAGTTCAAGACCAGTCTGGGCAACATGGCAAAACCCTGTCTCTACCAAAAACACAAGAAATTAGCTGGGCTGTGGTGGCACGTGCCTGTGGTCCCAGCTATTCAGGGAGAGCTGAAGTGGGACGATCACCTGAGCCTGGGAGTGGAGGTTGCCGTGAGCCAAGATTGCACCACTGTACTCCACCCTGGGTGACAGAGTGAGACTCCATCTCATCTCTACATATATGTTTATTATTTATTTATAAGTAATATTTTATATATTATATAAATAATTATATAATTTTTATATCAGTAATTATTATCATTATTTTTCTTTTTGAGAGGGAGTGTTGCTCTCTTCCCAGGCTGGAATGCAGTGGTGCAATCTCAACTCATTGCAGCCTCTGCTTCCTGGGTTCAGGCGTTCTCAGCCTCAGCCTCCTGAGTAGCTGGGATTACTGAGTGCCATGCCCAGCTAATTTCGTATTTTTAGTAGAGATGGGGTTTCACCATGCTGACCAGGCTGGTCTCAAACTCCTGATGTCAGGTGATCCACCTGCTATCTCAGTAATTATTTCTTTTTTCTTTTCTTTTTTTTTTTTTGAGTGGAGTCACTCTTTATCTCCCAGGCTGGAGTGCAGTGGCCGGATCTCGGCTCACTGCAAGCTCCGCCTCCCGGGTTCACATCATTCTCCTGCCTCAGCCTCCCGAGTAGGTGGGACTACAGGTGCCATACCTCGCCCGGCTAGTTTTTTGTATTTTTTTTTAGTAGAAGGGGGTTTCGTGTTAGCAGGATGGTCGATCTCCTGACCGCGTGATCCACCCGTCTCAGCCTCCCAAAGTGCTGGGATTACAGGCTTGAGCCACCGCGCCCAGCCAGTAATTATTTCAATAATAAAAGTAAGTTGTACTCAATAAAGAAAATTTGAAAATGTGTACCATTATAACAAATATTGATATTTTGGTTTTTTCTACATAGTTCTTTATTTTTTTGCAGGAATATTTTAAAAAGTTTCTATTTTGACTTTTTCATGTAACATTTTACGTAAGGACTTTGTATTTTATTATATTTACATACATTTTGTGAATACTGTTGGCCCTCCATATCGGTGGGTTCCACATCTGAAAATTCAACCAACCTTGGATTGAAAATATATGAAAAAATATGCATCTGCACTGCACATGTACAGACTTGTTTTCTTGTCATTATTCCTAAACCATACAGTATGACAATTATTTACATATGCTTACATAATAGGTATTATAACTAATCTAGAGATGACTTAAAGTATATAGGAGGATGTGTCCAGGTTACATGCAAATATTACACAATTTTATATTAGTAACTTGAGTATCTAAGAATTCTGGTATCTGAGGAAGTCCTGGAACCAATCTCCATGAATACTGGTCAACTGCATTTCTCAGGTTACTTATTTATTTTCTATATTAAAGAAACATTCGGATTGTTATTTGATTCTCTATTATAGTAGTTCCTTTTTTTTTTTTTTTTTTTTTTTTGCACAAAGTCTGTTCTGTATCTAGGAGTCTTTCTTTCAGTTACAAGACATGGAGATTGCTGGATGTAAGTATCACGAGCACAAGGGAAAAAGCAACCATGTTATTTCTTAGAGTTTTTACATTTATTCTACCTTAAATAATAGTTTTATATGTGTTTGACATTTTTTCCTAAAAGGTATTTTTAATAGAAATTTAAATTAAATTAAATTTAATAATTTAAATTATAAAACTCAAAGTTTATTTTTACAGTTCTGCTCTCTAAGTAAATTTGGCAAAAGCATAGGTGATTCAATCCTCAGGGAAAGCACTCAGGTAGAGCCTTACCTCTGGTGGCCCATGAAAGGAGTAAGAGTAGAGAATGGGCTGGATCATGATGAGGGACTGGGTCGGAGTCCTGCGGGCAAATGATGTCTGTAATATGTGACTCATCAGGACTATTGTTAAACACTTGAAGAAATGAATCTCCTCCAGATGGAACATGAACTGCATTCACAAAGAATGAAAGAGAAATGCATATAGTTGTAACCTTCTTAGATACCCACAGGTAGATCTACCTCAGGGTCTGAAATAGGAGAACCCAGAAGGAGCTCTCTGGGTTCACAGAACAGAAAGCATAAGGTGGTACCAGGGGGCTGGGGAAAGAGGAAAACTGGGAGTTGTTTGCTTAATAGGCACAGAGTTTCAGCTCTGCAGTGAAAAACTCTAGACATCAGTTGCTCAATAATAACGAATACACTAACACTACTCAACTGTATGCTTAAAAATGGTTAAGATGGTAAATTTTGTTATGTGTGTTTTACCACAATTAAAAATTAAATTATTTTATTTATTTTAAAAAGGGCCTCTGGCTGGGCGTGGTGGCTCATGCCTGCAATCCCAGCACTTTGGGAGGCCAAAGCAGGCAGATTACTGAGGTCAAGAAGTTCGAGACCAGCCTGACCAACATGGAGAAACCCCGTCTCTACTAAAAATACACAATTAGCGGGGCATGGTGGCGGGCACCTGTAGTCCCAGCTACTCAGGAGGCTGAGGCAGGAGAATCACTTGAACCCAGGAGGTGGGGCTGGTGAGCCAAGATTGCGCCATTGCACTCCAGCCTGGGCAACAAAACAAAACTCCGTCTCAAAAAAAAAAATTAAAAATTAAAAAAATATATATATATGTTGTTTATTTTTAAAAAAGGACCTCTGGGTATGTCAGAGCTTCACACAGTTAAAAAAAAGAAACGCCAAAGAAACATTTCCAGAGTCACTGTGCCAGGCAGTGGAGACAGAATATCTGCTCTCAGAGAAAGTCAGGCGCAGTGAGAAAGGCACGCAGGGCTATGAGTTGCAAGGCCAGAGTACAGGATAGCACTGGGGGAGGTGGGGGTGGAGGGCCAGGAGGAGGCCTCCTAGAGCTCTGTGAGGACTGACGGTGCACCCTGAGAGACATGGCTGGGGCGGCCACAGCGCCAGGGGAAGGGATTCCAGAGCACAGGAACAGCAGGTGACGGCTCAGGACACAAGCTGGGATGGTGAAATACGGGTGCAGGGGAGAAAGGGACAAGGGATGACATTGCAGCCTGGAGTTTCTCACCTCGGGGATTGAGAAGAAGGGGGTGAGGACAGACTTTCAGCTCCCGTTAAAGAAAGAGTTGCCAGAACATGAAATGCTCAAACTGTCTTGTAGAAGTAGTATAAAAGCTACGAGACTCCAAATATTGAATCATAGGTTCCCCCTTTACTATAAATAATAATCAAGGCTGACATTCAATACATCCTATATATACAACCACAGGAAGGCACAAAGCACTTCACAAGAACTGACTTAATCCTTCCAATAAGCCCCATGTGAGGTAGAAGTTCTCTGACCCATCCTAGTTTCAGGTGAAACTCCTACAAAGGCGAGCTGAAGGCGACAACTTGTCAAGGTCACCCCACTACCCCTGAGTATCGCAGCTGGACTCTACACCGCCAGGCCGCCTGGCTCTAGAGACTGGAGCTCTTGTGGCCTCTTTCCTAGAATGCCTTGACAGAAGGAATCAGGCTTATTTCATCTGGTTTTCAAGCTGTGCTCTTAGGTCTTCATCAAGTCCTCAGGGGCCCAGGGATGAGAGCTCTGGTGGGACCCACCATAGGGGTGGTACGGGCACAACCGGGCTACCAACTCTATCTGCTTTAGTATTGCTGGCACTAAGGGCGGCGGCTCCTCCAAAGGATTCATGGCAAAAAAAAAACAACCCTGCCAAACCACTTCACCAGGCAACTCTGCTAGGGTGGGGAAACCAAACTCTACAGGGCTCTGGAGACTTCCTCTAAAATCAGCCAAAGCGGTGTCAGCACTGGGAACCTCACCCTGACTCTGGCGGTCCAGGACTCTTCCCACAACCTGTACAACTGACACTCACACGCCTGGGCACCTTAGAGTCCCAGGCACCACTATGGGGAGAACTCAGTTACATTTAGTGCTAGACAGGTGACTGGCATTGTGCTAATATTTGTCTCCAATTAGCTCAACGCTCCTGCAAATCTTATAAGACACCTGGAGTTCACACTCTATTTCCATTATTGGAGATGGAAATTCATCTACTCCTTCCACTCCATCTCTCTTGTCCAGTATTGTGAAGGCTTTGTTGCAGAAGCTGACGGGCAGAGTAGTTACTTTCAGGGAGCTGCTTATTGCTCACTCCTGGTTATGATGCACATAATAACCACAGACATATTATTAAATATTTGTTGCACTAACTGTGGTTTTGTTTTGTTATATTCCTTCACTTATGTGCTCATTTTCTTGGTTTTTATTTGCTAGGAGTAGCTGACTGTTTTTCCCCAGAACTTCTACACATCAGAGATATTTTTTATGGCCTTATATCAGTGATCCTATTTTGCCTGTTCATGAAAATGTATGCATGAGTTTCCTCCCCTCTGCATGTCATCTTTATCTTCTAGGAGCTTAGGGTGCGACTTGCCTCGACACATTAGCTGGGTTGAACAATCTCTGTCACCTGGACACAGATCTCAAAAGGCTTCACTTTACCCTGAGAATAAAGTTAATTTCTATCAAAATGTACTGTTCTGTAGTTATTTTAGAAACATATATTACTTACCTGAGGATGGAGAAAGATCTAATTAACAAAAGAGTAGGTCTTTGCTGTTCATATGTCCAAACTTTTGACACTATGGAAAGAAAATACCAAAACACACACACACACACACAAAGAGAGAGAGAAAAATCTAAGTTAGCATTACCTGGAAATATTCTTGGACTAAGTTACATCAGTCTGAACTCTGCCACTGCAGTCCTAGACTGGTACTTCTCAAACTGGCAGGCAAATGACCAGGAGGTCTTGTTAAAATGCAGGCTCTGGCCAGGTGTGGTGGCTCACACCTGTAGTCCCAGCCCCACTTGGAGGCTGAGGTGGCGGATCACGGGAATCAGGAGATCGAGACCATCCTGGCTAACAAGGTGACACCCCGTCTCTACTAAAAATACAAAAAGAATTGGCCGGGCATGGTGGCGGGCGCCTGTAGTCCCAGCTACTCGGGAAGCTGAGGCAGGAGAATGGCGTGAACCTGGAAGGCGGAGCTTGCAGTAAGCGAGACTGCACCACACTGCACTACAGTCTGGGCAACAAGGCGAGCCTCTAACCTCAAAAATAATAACAAGAAAATATAAGCAATTTTTTCAAAAATGCAGGCTCTTGGGAGGAGTGGAAGATTCTGCATCTCTAATCAGCTCCCAGGCAGTCCTGGCCTGAGGACCGCCCTGACCAGAGAAGCTAGGTGAACTCTTCCAGGCAACTGTTCCACATGAAAACCCTCTAACACCATGAAAACTAACAATTACAGTTACGCTTTGATGTTCTCTCACACTAAAACTCAAATTTATTTCTCCCAATGGCAGATTTCTGAACCACAATGTTTTATCTTCCTGCCTTTATTTCTGCTCACACATTTCTGGTCACTAAAGAATTGGGTTATTCACCATTTAAAGAAACCACATTTCTAACATGCTCAACTTCCCCACAAAATCAGAGTCTTCTACAAGTTCTATCTTCTTGTTTCCTAGCAGCGTAGACCAGGTGACTGCCCAAACGTCTTGAAACTTTCTCCTTCAGCTGCTAATACATCAAGCTCCTCATCTCTCATAATCTCTCAACCAACACTTTCTGCCTTCTCCAATGGTTTTTGTTTTCATCCTCCCCCTAACTGTGGACTCCTTGGGGGTTAGTTCTTGGCCCCCTCCTCCTATCCTCACTGCTTTGGGTACAAATGAACACTACAGCCAGATGGATGTCATCCAAATCCACCCTCCAGTGTCCAGTGCTGACCTCTGGCCTGTGACCCCAGTCAGACCATCCCACAAATATAGAATTTTCGTGATAGAGACATCTTTCAGTTACATTAATTATCAAAATAAACTAATACCACATTAAAAGTTCACCTTCTCGCACCCTAAAATTGCACTCCTTTCCCATCTTCTGCCTCACCACCACTTATGCAGCTACCCACGTGGCCAATATCACTCAATGCTGACTCTTTTGGTTTTACATTTCAAAGAATCATTTCATCAAGTTTATCAATTCTTTCAGTTTTTATCCTGAGTTTCTATTCAAACCCTTCCTCCATCTCTACTGCCACTCGCTGGTCTCTTTCCATTGAGCCTGAAAAATCTCCAGCTCACAACTATTAACCTTTTTTCTCCCTTACAATGTACCTCCATGGTGATATTAAAACGTAAACACAAGCATCATGCCGATGTCACACCCCCGCTTAACAATCACACCCAAGTCTCCCTTGCTCCCTAAAGTTAAGGAGCTCCCCAGTCAAGGTGTACCTTCCCTGACTCTGTTCCCACTGCACAACCTGGCCTCATGTGACATGGTTTCTTCAAAGTCCTCAGCATAAGCTAAAGGCCAGCCTTCAGCTCGGCGGGCTTTCGTTGCTGCTAGCACAGCCACCCTCCTCATAGGCCTTGCCTTCTCCTCTCCAAACAAACTATTCTTTAATAAAAAACCTGACTCAGAGCTCATTTCCACAGGAAGTCCTTATCCCAACCACCTGGGCCCTCTGCCCTTTGGAAATCTTAAGCAGCACTTTTCAAATTATGTTTGAAATATTGACACTTTACCTACAAAAATGGTTTCCCTTTACACTGATTGTGCTAAGCAGCAATGAAATAGACAAACAAACATTTTTCTTTGTTTTTCTTTGGTGTCCTTCCGCGGCATTCTCTTACGATATCTTCAAGGCTGATTTTTTTTACACCTGGTGATTTTTGTTTTTGTTCTTTTGTTTGATTGCTGTTTTGTTCTCTAAAACTGTTATTTGGTATACAAGCTCGCTGTGTTCACTTTCATGTCCTTTTATAAGCATTTTTTTTTGTTTGTTATTGGATGGATTAACACTT